CGCAGACGCAAGAGGGTGATGGGGCTTCTGGCTGCCACGCTGCTCATCTTCTTCGTCTGCTTCGGCCCCTACAATATGTCCCACGTGGTGGGCTACGTCCGGGGTGAGAGCCCGACCTGGCGGAGTTACGTGCTCCTCCTCAGCACCCTCAACTCTTGCATCGACCCTCTAGTCTTCTACTTTTCATCCTCCAAGTTCCAAGCTGACTTTCAGCAGCTCCTGGGGAGGCTGACCAGAGGCTGTGTGCCTTGGACTCAGGAAGTCAGCTTGGAGCTGAAGGCAAAGAACGGAGAAGAGCTTTGCAAGGAGTGTCCAAGCTAGAGAAAAGGGTAGGCAGGAGGAGGGGTGTGGAACCATGGGCCCAGTGCCTTGGCTGGCAGGGGGATCTCCAGGGGCAGGAAGGAGTAGGCAGGTGGGTTGTGTCCCCAGGGCTCTAGTTCCCTAGCTCAGGACGGACGAGACTCGTGTGACAGGCTGGAGACGCAGCTGTCACTCGGCTTTCCCTCCAGGTGTTCACGTTCTGGACTCTCCATGTGGTCCTCCCTCCCGCCGTCTCATACGCCCTGGTTGGATTCCACTCTGGGACGTTGTAATGGTGACAGACTTTTCTAGAAGAAGGAGCCGAGCCTCTGCAGCAGCATTGGCTTCAGTGCCTTCCTTAGGGAGCTGCATGGGGGGTGGGGGGGAGGGAGGGGAGGATGCCCAGGGCTGGAGCCAAGCTGGAGACCTGGAACAGGGGTGGGGAGAAGTGCAAGCCACTGACGCCTGGCTCTTCAGAGTAGGGGAGACAGGGTTCCACGGGTGAGGGAACAGCCTGCCCTTGTGAAGTTTTCCAGAGCCTTCCCACAGCTCCGCAAATCCAGATCTTCTGCGATACTTATGAACAATGGCAGCAAAGAGAAAAATTATCCCAATAAATTCCGCACTAGCAAAAGCAAATGATGTTTCCATATCTTCTTGCTCTCCCTGGGTAGTGTAGGTAGTAGAGGGAAGGAACACTCCTTCACACTGAAGGAATGGGATTGGACAAAATGCCCAGGCGCCTGCAGAGGATGGGGCTGGAGAAATGAAACTAACAACAATGTTATCTTTAAGTTTTTTGTTTGTTTGTTTTTTGTTTTGTTTTTTTTTTTTTTAATTTAGGGCTGGGCATGTAGCTCAGTTGGCAGAATGCTTACCGGGCAAGAACAACCCTGCTTTCATCCCCGGCCCCACATACACCAGATATGTTTGTGTCCATATCTGTCACCTGAGCAGAAGGGAAGAGGCTGCAGGAATCTCAGAGGTCCAGGGTCATCCTTAGCTACCAGCCTGGGTACCAGAAAACCCATCTCAAAACAAACAAACAAACACACACACAATCAAGAAGTAGCAGAGGACCTTGAATGAAATTCCTGACTTGGACTGGGTAGATTTCAGCGTCATGTAAAAGCTCAGGTCATGGGGGTTGCACGAGAAGGCAGGGGCTGTTTTCTATGCACAAAACTCAGTCTTGTTTGTGACATTCCTAGAAAACTTTAGGCTTATGTCTGGGAGAGCAGCTAGGCCACATGACTCAGGTCTTAAGTATGGGCTCACTGTTGTTTTGATATTTTTGTTTTGTTCTGTTTTTCAAGACCGGGTTTCTCTGTGTAGCTTTGGAGGCTGTCCTGGCACTCGATCTGGAGACCAGGCTGGCCTCGAACTCACAGAGATCCGCCTGCCTCTGCCTCCCGGAGAGCTGAGATTAAAGGTGTGCTCCACCACCGCCCGGCCCCAGTTTTGACATTTAAAAAAGTGTATTACTTTTGTGTTCAAGCGTATTATCTACATGTCTGTCTGTGTACCGTGTGTGTGTGTGTGTGTGTGTGTGTGTGTGTGTGTGTGTGTGTGTACATTACCCTCTGGGTAAATAGAAGGCATTAGGTTCACTGTTACTGGAGTCAGAGATGGCAGATGTGTGGGAGCTGGGAACCAAACCCAGGTCCTCTGAAAGAGAAGCCAGCACTCTTAACCACTGAACTTTCTAGCCCTTGTTTTGCTTTTGAGAAAGGATCTCACTATGTAGCCCTGGCTGGCCTAGAACTCACTCTGCAGACCAGGCTTGCCCTCAAATCACAGACACCTGCCTGTCTCTGCCTCCTGTACCACCCACCATACACCACAGCCAGCCTCACTATAGTTTTTGTTTGTTTGGTTGGTTGGTTGGTTGGTTTTTTTGGAGACAGGGTTTCTCTCTGTAGCCTTGGCTGTCCTGGAACTCACTCTGTAGACCAGGCTCACAGAGATCACCTGCTTCTGCCCCTTGACTTCTGGGATTAAAGGCGTGTGCCACCACCATCCAGTCACTTTTGTATTTTCTAAAACAGAATCTCTCTTTGTAGCCCATGCTGGCCTCAAACTCTCCACCTTACTTAAACCAAGCACCTGAATATTGGGATGACAGACATGAGCTCCTGGCCATCTTTAAAAAAAAATTAAAAAAAAAAAATACCCCATGCTTGCTGGGATCTCCGATGTCCTGGAAACGAGACAGGACTAACAAGCCAGGCAAGAGCCATGAGCAGTGGGTGTTCTGTGGAAACAAGCTCACTCCTCTGCCTAGATACCTTGGCCAAGAGCGAGCAACCCAGGGTGTGGGAAGATGCAGATGAGTGGTCTCCAAAGCCTGAGTGATGATTTAGAAGCTTGGGAGGAGAGGGCTTTGTTGCTTCCATTCCCAGATGCCTCCAACATTTCGGGTGTGGGCTGGAGATCCCACAGCCATCTTTTGAACCCCAGACAGGGGTTCCCAACCTCCCCAGTGCTTCGACCTTTTCATACAGTTCCTCTTGTTGTTGTGACCTGGAACCAAAAACTTATTTCATTGCTACTCCACAACTGTAATTTTGCCGCTGTAGTGAACCACAATGTAAATATCGGATATGATACTCAACACCCATGAAAGGGTCACTCCACCCCTACCCCCAAGGGGTCCGTGACCCACATGTTGAGAGCCGCTGTCTGAGAAGGTTTTATCAAAACAATTCCCGGCTGGGTGGTGGTGGTGCACGCCTTTAATCCCAGCACTCATGAGGCAGAGGCAGGCGAATCTCTGTGAGTTCAAAGCCAGCATGGTCTACAAGAGCGAGTTCCAGGACAGCCTCCAAATCCACAGAGAAACCCTGTCTTGAAAAAAGAAACAACAAAAAACAATTCCCTGCAGAGGAGTATGCCTGTCAGGATGCTATGTTCGAGGCTAGCCTGAGCTACAGAGCAAGACCCTGTCTCCGGATAAAATTAAAAGAGCTAGAAATGTAGCCTTGCAGTGGATTGCTTGCCTAGCAAGTACAAGACCCTAAATTTGACCCCCGGCACAGCAAAATAAGCAAAGAAAATAATTCTCGCTTCTTTGAAAGTTAACCAGAGCATAGCTGTCCTCACCCCCACTGTGCTGCGGGGGACACTGCTCCCTGTGGCCTCCTCTCTCTGCTCATGATCTCTAAGGAGGACTCTACTTGTCTTATTTCAACTAACTATCCTTTGCCTTCACAGGGTATCTATTGACAGAAAGCAGGTCAGTGAGTGCTATGAGCCGGGAATAGTTTAATGGAGATACAGATGAGGAAGGTGCCCCTGGGACATTACAGGGTGATGGAGAAATTCTATAACTTGATAGAACTGGATGTCAAGTCATAAGTCAAAACCATGACCTTAAAGTGGATGAATATTCTTGCATGGAAGTCCAGCTGCAGTAAGTGTGTGTATGTGTGTGTGTGTGTGTGTGTGTGTGTGTGTGTGTGTGTGTTTGAAGGGAGAGTGTGGGTGAGGTGTGTTTTCCTGTACTTGTTTGTATGTGCCCACACCTATGCACATGGAAGGCAGAAGTTGACAACCTGGTGTCTTCCTGCCTAAAGATCTGGGTTCGATTCCTGGAACCCACATGGTGGAAGAAGAGAACTAAGGTCTTCGATTTTATCTTTTATCCTCCACACACAGATCCCTGCCCCGGCCAAATAAATAAGTCAATAAGTATTGTAAAGCTAATGTGAAAATAATTCTATTTTGTTTTACTTTTGAACCAGGGTCTTGTGCATGCCCAGGCTAACCCCAAACACAGCATGTATGTAGTCAAGAATGACCTTGTGTCTCATGATTTCCTCTATCTCCACCTTCCAAGGGCTGGGTCACAGGCTCCAGCAGACAGCATCCAGGATCAAAAGTCTTCCTTTAAAATAGTGTGTTCATGACCCAACCCTTGTGCACCTTGCAGTTGCAGCACACACACACACACACACACACACACACACACACACACACTTATCTAAGTTGCATCTGTTTACTTATTTATTTTGGTGGAGTTTGTGTGTGTGCATACATGGAGTTGCAAGCTGGTGGGAATGAACTCTCTCACCATGTGGGTTCCTGGGGATTTGACCCAATGGCCAAGGCCTGATGCAAGCACCTTCATCTGCTGACAGCCATCCCACAAGCCCCTTATTTTGTTTTGAGCCAGGATCTTGCTATATATCCTGGGCTGGTGCCAAACTCATCACCCTGCTGCCTCTGCCTCCCAGGTGCTGGGATTGCAGGCAGGCAGCATCAAGCTGGTAACTGTGTCTTTATTGCGTCAAAAAGCCACATGAAACTATTGACCTAGACATTTGAGCCTGTTTATGTCACTTTGTGCTGTCCATGGGCCCCTGAAACCCACTAACTGGGTTTCTCAGAATGTGTCCCTGTTGTAAAGTGGGGCAGCGACCAGCTGACTTTTCAAACATGTTCTTAGCAGTCTCTTATCTCAGGAAGTGCCTGTCCACCCTGCAGTACTTCTCCTGAAGACTGTCCCTCACCCACAGAGATGGTTATGGAGGACACAAGTCTCTCTCTCTCCATCTCTCTGTCTCTCTGTCTGTCTGTCTCTCTCTCTCTCTTCTCTCTCTCTCTCTCTCTAATGTGTGTGTGTGTGTGTGTGTGTGTGTGTGTGTGTGTGTGTGTGTGTGTGTGTGTGTGCGTGCTTCTCTGTATGTTTGAGACAGACTCTCACTGTGTGACCCCGGCTAGTCTTAATTTCACAATACTTACTTCAGTGCCCTAGGGTTCTCTGGTTATATAGATATATATCACCATGGTCAGCTTTCTTTCCTTCTTCTTAAGTAAACACTTTTATTTTATGTGTAAGGTTGTTTTGCCCGCAGGTGTGTCTGTGCACCACCAGCATGCCAGGTGCCCTTGGAGACCAGAAGAGGGGATCAGGTCCTCTGGAACTAGAGATGGTTGTGAACTGCCACCAGGCTTCTGGGAATTGACCCAGGTTCTCTACAGGAGCAGCCAGTGCTCTTAGCCCCTGAGCCCTCTAGTCA